GATGGATGAGCTATGGAAATAAAAATTAAAAATGTCCAAAAACAATTTTACTTTTAAAACAGTTAACAGTTTGAGAAACTTGGAGTGGAGAAGAGTGGAATAGTTACATAAACAAGTTGCATTGTAGAAATAAAGTTTAAAATCAATTCAGAGCAGGCACAGAAGCACAGCTTGATTTAAAGTTTCTAGTATACGTTGCCATTATTATAGGTCAAGACATCACCCTTGCTACGTTTGATAACTGCAGCAGCATATACAATTACAAAACACAATGATTTCTTGCAGCAATTGAAATTTGCCATTTTCACCAGTTGGTATGCAGTTAGAGCAAATTGACTGGACTTTAATTAATAAATATCAGTGGAGTGATGTGACTTCTGCAACAAAAATTCTGGAAGATAGAAGGACGTGGGTTCCATGGAGACTGTTTATGAAGAACTCCTATCTGTTACACTGCCCCCAGTGCCACAGTGTGATGTGAAACCCCGCGATTAAGAAGTTATCAGTCAAAAATTGATACATGGCTCCAACGTTCCCAGTTACCTGACAGGTCTCCACAACAATTACGCAAAACTCTGTTCAGGAGTGCAGCATGACAAGTTCCTCACTTGTCTAACATTCTACACTAACAGAGATAGTGTAACGTTCTTCCTAGACTTTCACTAAAAGGTTTGGATACACTTTATGTATATTCCATAGTAAGAATCATTGCTTCTAAAATCCAAGGAACTCACAGAAAGGAGTGCATGGCAGGACACTGAGAGCACGATGGGACAGAACCTGAGGCAGAACCTGTCAGCCCTTACTAACCTCCCTATGGGCAAGGGACGTAACCCACCCAGAATCCTTCAGGCCTTTCCCGCCTCTGATTTCTGTGATCCCAGCAATGATCTCTCAGCACTGATTCATGCCGAGTGGCTATCCAAACACTTTAGAAGCACTTGCAGTGTTCAGTTAAAACGTGTATTTGAAGAAGCTGTAAGATGGTTACCAGCAGGTGGCCCAGCAAATTGGTTCATTTAATACCAGCAACTATCTATTCCAGACTCTCAATTTTCCTTTTGTTATTGTTTGAGCAGTGGGGAACATCAGCTGAAGGACTCTGTTGAACTAATACAGTACACAGTGTTGACGAAATGTCACAGAAGATGTTATTTCAGAGGTCAGAGTCCAGGTACAAGGAAGGTACATCAAAAGGGAGGACAAAGAAATCTTAAAAAAAAAAAACAACAAAAAAAAAATCTTCTCTGAATGGCAGTCAATAAGGGGTTGTACAGAAGAGCTGACAGCAGAAAGGAATTCATGGTAAAAGATGGTCAGGAATACTAAGGCTGGCAAGGAAAGATATTTGGAGTAGGAAAGAGAAGATCAGGTACATAGACATGCCAGCAACAATGTTTTAACTTGGTTATAAATCATTGTTCATGGTTTGCTAATATAAAGAAAGAAAACCAGTAATAGTGCTAGACTGTATAATCAAAGTGAACAGTCAGCTAAGGTGATATTAATTGTATTTGACTGATGAGAAGGGGGGGAGAGTGAATAGCTGGCAGAGGGAAAATGTAAAATTTGATGCCTGCTAAATGAGGCATGATGAATAATGGTTTTTCTTGTCAAAACCACTGCTAGAATCTCCTCAAGCTGTGAGCAGGTATTCAGGAACACATGTCTAGGTTTAACCAAAGATCTGATTCTTCTCCTAATAAAGGAAACAGAAATTACAGTAACCAATGCAAACAGAAGCTGAAAAATATCACAAGCTGAAATCCCCTTTTATTTTACAAAATGCATATCTAAAGCAAGTTAAAAACAATCCAGGGAGGGTATCTATTATCTTGCATGAACAGCCAGCAGTTGTTGACAGGAGTTAATAGCATTTTCCATGAAATTCGGCTTAATCTTGTTTTTGTTGGCGTGGTTGAAAACAATTTCTTTTCACATTTATTAAGAGTAAGAAGAATTTCTGACAAGATACGCTATAACTAAAGCATTAAAAGTGGATCACAGCTAAATAAAATAATATGGCAACAATGTAAGTAATTCAGATCTTAGGATAAGTTTATTCAGAGAGTTAATAGCAGTGTTTTTTGCCAGTCTTATTTGCACCATCTTTACAGAGATTGCTCAGCTGTTAACATCCTCTTTTTATGGGAGAAGTTCTCCTTTTTCAGTATGTGCATGAAGTGGAATTGCATTTCTTTTTTTTTTTAAAGCAGTATCAATTAGATCTGCCTGATGCATTCTAAAGCTGCTCTCAGTTTTCTTTTAGAAAATCTAAAATCTTTTCTTTGTAGAAAATCAGGACATTTTCTGTCATCATTATACTAAAATGAATTTGTGTCAGGACAACTGCTAAATCACAACTCTCTTTAGTTTGATTGTTATACTGAAGAAGATTGTGTCCAATTATTTGGGCAACAGCCTCTGGGGTTATGCACACAGACTTACTGCACATATCAAGCCACTAAACATTTTTAAAGTCAGAAGCATAGCAGAGAGGTGCTATAAAAGCACTGACGCCTGAGATTCATTCTCTCTAACTCCCTTTCAGATATTGTATCACTGCCGAAGCAAACAGACTCTGTATGTTTAACAGCAAGCTGCAGAAATTAAACACAGGCATAGAACAAGAAGGTACATCATGATGATGAATTGTTCACTGAACAGAGTCACAGTGCCGAATTAGTCCTACTGAAACCAGAGAAGAAAAGCGGAAGAAAAGTAAGGGCTCTGTGGTAAAGATCATGCAGGGAGGCCGTGTGCTCTCAACATTCAAAATTTTAAAGTAAAGATCAAAAAGGTCCTCAGCCAGCCATTCCAGTGGAGTTTCCTGTATCTGTTACTGGCCACCTCAGGTGACTTTGAAACAGATGGATCTAGCAACAGTCTGACTGCTGTGTTCCAGGTACACAAAAGAAAAATATATATTTTGAGAGTTACAGAAGTTGTATTCCGAGTCTATTAAGTCACAGGACTGGAAATGAGACCATACCACCAGAATTCATGCCCAGCTTCAAATTTTCCCTAGATCTGGAGGATCTGAGAGCCAACATCTGAATTTAGGTCTGTCTTTGGCTGGAGCTAAGATTAAGTAATGATCTCAAGGACTAGCAAGGTCTGTTGATGAGTTATTCTGATGGCATCTAGATTACAATAGTACATAGCCACTCATTTATATCACTGAAAGCAATAAGCAGGACTGAAGACCTTATAGAGCTCTTCCAATCCTTGCAAGCAAACTAAGTCCCAAGTAGAGGTCAGGCTAAAAGGGGACTTGAGTGCCTATCAGGACTTAAGTCCAGCATCATCCTTGCAATGTAAATTCAGAGGTGCTACCAATTATATTTTACAGCTAATCAGTTGATCCCAGGAAACACTGAGTTTGATAGCTTGCCTTTGCAAACCAGTCACTAACCAGGTCTTTCTAGACAGAGTTTTGCTATACTGCTGGAGAATTCAGTAGCTGACCTCTCCTGGGATTCCACTCACTGCAGAGGCTTCAGGCTACTGCTGCTGCAAAGGTCTTGTAGCCATCCTTCCCCCTGCACACACACCTATTGAGATACATTCATGACTCAATCACACCTACAACCACAAGCACTGCCTAAACACTTCATCTTCTCTCTCCCTCAGACACAGCTTGCACAGCACCTGCTGAGATGATCTGATGCTCACCCTACCATCAGGAAAAGCAGCAACAGCAGGTTTGCAGATGACCTGGAAGCACCTACCTCCTGTCCATCCATACTGTAAGAAATGTCAGATCAAGCTCTAGCCTGGACGTGCGCCAGAGGAGGAGTCTGGCTTCTGGGACAATGTTTGAGCAATTGAAGAAACAGAAGCATGTGTGGACCACATGCAGTCTGTAGATTGCCACTCAGTCCACAGTCATGCATAATTCAGAGAGAAGACACTGCATGCTATTAAATCCTTTTATGTAGCAAAGCACATCGTTTTGAAAGAACAAGTAAATAGTTACTTATGCTTCCCGCTGAACTAGTAAACAATTTGAGGGTTCAACTTCTCCTATTTTGGGAAGGTTTTTATGTTTTGTTTTGGTATCCTTTACATATTCAATCTCCAAACAGGAATGTTTGTGGAAGTAAAGTTGCAAGCACTGGAGCAACACAAGCAAGCCCCACATAAACTTCTAAGCAGATTTCATCCCAGCCCCAAATATCCCTGCTGGTCCTATGTAAAAGCTGCCAGCTTCATACAACTTCCTGCTGTTGATGTGACCTTTCAGAGATGCTACAGTTGAAATGAATTACAGAAGAGTTCAGTATGCCTCAAACGTACACTGGGAAGAAAGCACAGTTGCTTGTGTTGTTTAAGAAGGAGCAAAGTGTTATTATATATCTGCTTTGCTGGAAACCAGCCCTTCATTTCTCTCTAACAACAGGGTCTCCTATTCTGTGTTTGGTTCTGCAAGTTGTATACAGCACTTTGTTTGATAACATCGTTATAAGAAACAAACAAATAACAAGAAGCTTTCTCTCCTTTGGTTTTGACCTTTTTCAGCCTGCATCCCTGTGTGTGTGTGTGTGTGGGGAGGGGTATTTTTTCTGCTCTTGCCTTAAATCAATTTTAGCATGGATGCCCCTTAATCAAAGAGATGCTGAAGTTGACAGGGACCCTTTGCAGGTCACCTAGTCTGACCCCTGCTTTTGTGCAGATTTCTAAACAATATTATAAGCAGATAAAAGCAGAACATAGTCAGGAGACATTCCACCACTGCACTTTTCAAAGGACTCAAGAGTCTTTCAAATCCTACTCATTTTTCCATATGCTCTGTCCTTTTTTTTCACCAGACAAAAACAGGTGTCCTCATTCAACCCTATGAGGACAAGAAATAGTCAGGAGCTTCTATCATAAACATGCAGTGCCTTTGAGAGCTACTTTTGCTCTGAAGATTAGGAAGCAAAACATTTGTAAATGCATTTGTAAATCTGTTAGTACAGGGACAATACCAATGGTAATACTGCAGAGGTTGTACTTACACTGGATGTCTTCTCCCAGAAACAACATTGGAGGTACAATAACTTTTGTACATTGAAATCCGCAGACTTTGCAGCTTCCTTCACCTGAGAAACTTTGGTTCAGCTTGAAAAGAAAAAGGGCTTTCTGTATAAAGGATACCCTACACATACAAGGCAGCCTGTGCTGAAAGGCAGTCAGAGCTAGAGTTCCTGACCAAAGTGCTGCATCAAGTGAGCTGTCCTGAGGCCCACCCCTCTCCCAAAACAGGTGTGCGGACACTCCTGTGTTCACACAGCTGTGGGCTTGCTCTTGTAGAGAAGCTTGGTATATGAAGTGATCTCATCAGCAAAATTTAGGAGATTTACTGATTTTTATATGCTACCTCAAGAAAGCCAAACAAAACATTTGCCAGCTTTATATCATATGCAAACACTATACCAGTCTGAGGTAAGAAAGGAACAGAAAGACAATGTCACATAAGCTGTATCTGAAAAATTGGCTAGCAAAATCAGCCTAGCCAAATTGTAAGCCTTCCCACCTGCATACAGCAGAGGGCTGTGTTGTGCTTAGAAGAGCTAGAGCCACCAGCTGGGAAGCTTCTTCAGAGCAGCGGAAAAAGCAGAGGCTCTGAGCAGACAGAATTATTCCCTGGGCTGCTGTAGGAAGGGAAAGAGTTAGGAAGGACTGTACAACCTCCTGGTCTTCCGTCCTCAGAGCACAGGGATACATCACTTCTGCTCCACCCCAGTAACTCGCAGTAAAATATTTGGCCGTGCAACCTCTCTTCCCCTGAACAAGCTTACCTCTCCTTTGGCCTTGCCCAACTTTAATTAAGAACATCAATAATTTTGCTACACTCATCTATCCCAGGAGAGAGAGGCCACGCTCTTTACTGCCACTGTGTAAATCAATTACTTGCTCTATACTGGGAAGTACATGCAGTTCTCCTTGCTCCAATTACAAAAGGAATGTATTAGCATTTCTAGACAGATGTCACAGATGGTTAGAAATCCAGGAAGCACAGAGCAAGTGCAGTGAGACGGGGCTTTTGCCTAAGAAAGAAGGTACTTTTATAGATCCTTTAAAACAACACAAATTCTGTGTACTTGCTAGAGTACAAAATATTTTGCTTCAGGGATGTAGTGCAGGATATTCTGAGATAGACAGATAGTATGCATAGTTGCTATAACAATGCCAGCAGTGCTACTGCTATAGCATTAAAACTGCAGATAATTGTGATGAAGTTAGGTCCATAAGCAAAGAGATGGCCATTTTGAAGGCCATAGTGAGCAGAAACTTAAGGTCAGATCAAATGCTTTTACTTTTTCAGGGAGAAGGGGGAAAACAATAAAGACCTGCAGTATTTGAGCAAAGAAATAACATCATTAGCACTGCATCTCACGGCCTTTCATTCAACGTAAGCAACTGCCCAGCACAAATCCTGCTATCCCAAAATGCATTCAGTTTTGCTGTAATGCCAAAAAAAAAAAAAAAAAAGCCTTTATCAACACATATAAGAGCTCTTTTTCAGCTCTCATATGACTGAGCACATGCAGCTGATCTAATATTGGAGATGTGCTCACTTAAGGCCTCGCTCTTCTGTTCCCAGCATATTTTGAGAAACATAATTCTCATTTATTTGCTGCAGTGTATCAATACTCTGGACAAGCTCTGTAATCTAGACAAACCTACTGGTGAGCAAGTAGCAAGCTGCTTCTCATGTATTTTTGAGATGTAATTTTTGGTGCCTCCTGGAGTTTTATCAGTGGTACTCTCTTCAAAAAATGCCATATTAGGCAGAACATTAGCAAAGAGGAGTTCAGTCATAACTGCATACAATGTTCAGCTGCCTCAGGACCCCATTGCTATTTTCATTATTTGAATCACCCAAATATGGACTGATTTTGTACAGGAATGATGTGTGTAAGAAATTATTTTGAGGAGGAAGAGGCTCACTCTCATAGGTGCAGCAACTCCAAGTAAGCAAATCCATTCAGCATGTTCCCAGTTGAATCACTAAGTCCCCTCAGGGTAGATGATAGATGGGCCATGAGTCACAACAGTCATACTCCATTTTAAAACATTTGAATCCTTATAAGTGCAATCAAGACAGAAGCATGACAATGCTAGCCTTGAAACACTGGAATTAAGCCTCCCTTTTCTGTGCGAGACTTCAGTGATCACAAAATTTTAACAATTTGCTGTCATTTAGACCTATCTGTCTTGTTGCATTATTTCAGTTGACAGAATTAGCAGTTGGATCAGAAATGAAACATTTCATATGTAGAGGAAAGAGCAAGAACTGTTGGAAACCCAAGAAAGTCAGCATCTTTCTCTAAGCAGCATGTATTTTGATCTCAGGAGTTACGTGAAATAAATCCCATTTAGCAGATTGTGGACTACTGTCTCCCTTTTGATCTCCTGCACTTCAAGTAAAATCTGGGAATGGGGATGACTACAAATAGCAATGACCTTATCAGAGTAAAAATTTGTTAGGGTGCACTCCAAGAATTTGCCCAAAAAGTCATACTTATTTTTCCACCATTTGAAAGACATTGTGGGTCTCATTGAAGAGGTACAAACTAACACCCAAAGTCTCACCTAGGCAGGTGTGGTCCTCTTTTCTCAGACAAGCTGCTCTGTTCATGCCAGACTGATATAAGCAACAGTATTCTAATACAAGCAAATTAATCTCACTGTGGCACAATTCAGCAAATATTTGCAACAGTATGTTCATTGTTACATTACAAGATTAATTGGTTGCTGATTGTGACATTCTATTTTGTACACTTGGCTTTGCTATAACCTCATATATGTTATGCTGACAAGACACAAGCTTGCAAGTGTTGTCTGTCTCCAGAAAATATCAGCTGTAGGACAAACTGTGAATTTCACAATTACTGAGCTAATTGTTCCTGGACGTTGAGCTCAGAAGCTAGTAAGCATCTAAAATCATGGGCTCTGGCCAGCTTAGATTCAATCCACTCTTTGCACTGCATCACATGCTGGTGATCCCTGTGCAGGTAAGTGTGGGGATTGCCTAAGGGTAGCTGGACCACTGAAAATGAAACAGTGAGATAAAACAGCTCATAGACTAGGCATGAAGCCACCATATAATTAGAGCATGGTAACTAGACACAAACCTGACTCATGCTGACTTTGGCCAGTCACAGCTGTGACTGCCATGTCATGTGGTCATGTGGAATTCCATGTGGTCCAGGTGCACAAACAACCCACATCTCCACATCAACAGAAAAGCACATTTCATTGAAACTACTGATTTGTCAACGTCAGGGTAGCCTGACAAAAAGCTGAGGGACCCTCCCTTGTAAGCTCTTTTCTGGTGTCATCCAGTTTCCCTGTTCAAAACTAATCACAGCTGCACCTTCCTCCAAATGATTGCTCTCAAAAAATCCAAGCCGCTCTCAGCTGCTCTGCAGGTGTTCTCCTTTGGCTCCACCACCTTCTGGGACAGCACAGGGGCAGGAATGGAGCTGTGGATGCAGTGAATTAGATTAATATGGATGCAGTGAAGTAGATTAATATGGGCTTGTACAAAGCTATAAGAGTAGATATTTGCTCTCCCCTCATACCAAATGTTTTCAGCAACAAGAGTCAGCAATCTGGTTGTCCAGGCCTTTTCTGACATTGAGGGGAAACCTCCTTCATCATCCAAAATCTGTGGAATGCAGATCTGCAGGAATAACATCATGGCAGATCAAGGCAGGCCAACATGCCGAAGTCTGCTTTGCAAACCAGCTCAGTTACAAGGTGGTCTACAACTAGCACCCTACATTTCTTTCCAGGCCAAAGTATCTACAGCTGTAGTATGGAAACATCCTCACCAAATAAATACAACACAAGTGTATTGAGGTCACCATTTCTCAACATCCTCAGATGATACTGAGGAAGCTAAAAGGGAGCTGGGTAAGCAAACAGGGAAAGGAGGAAAAGTTGTTATTCTGTAGGGCATGTTAAAATGAAACTGGAATGTGGAAGGAATATTATCCATAAGCTAAAATACTGATGTACTTGTTTCAAAAGCCTTCCTTAAAACGAGGAAAAGTGAAACCAACCAAAGGTTTAGAAAAATGAGCTGTACCAGGAAATAGATTTTCAGCATCACCCATGAGGGCATAGATTTAACAGAATAGGAACAGAAAAGGAAAAGAGTGAGTAAAGAGGCAAAAGAGGGATACTCACAGATCACAAGTGGAAGGATAATGGAAAAGAGCACTCTTGTCAACCTTCATCTTCATAACAATGTGGATTGTGTCTCCAGAATGTTGTGAAATAATTAGAAGAAAATAAAGCAAATAGAAACTGCAGGCTTGCAAGACTGAAAGGACTTCTTTGTTTTTCATCTTAAATAAAGAATTGGTTTAACCTCATTTTTTTATTAAAGATTTTGATTATTTGTAGCAACTGAGCTATGTGTGCCTCACTTTGCACTGGGTTGCAGTATAAACAAAATCCAGCTGCAATACATGAAAAATCTAGGAGCAGTAAAGAGCATAATGCCTCTAATTAACGTCTGTTTGGACCTAAAATGAGGCAGTGAAGACTCAAGATAAACACTGTATTAGCTGTATAGCTGAGTATTGTAAAAGGTCTTACCTTTTGGAGGTAGAAACTAAATTTTCAAAACTAACATTAGGAAAGTGCATTGTTTTAAAAAATAATTGGATTTCTACAGGCTAATGAAAGCCAAGAAGCCCACTGGAAAGACATACACAAATTATCAAATATTTGTTCCATCCTTTAGAAATGCCTTTGTTCCCTGGAAGAAAATTTTGAATACTCAGCTTAACATGTTGTTTTTACCAAACCTGGAAGAATTAATATCAATAGAAGGAAAGAGTGTGCAGACCCAACTTGAGTATCCAGTACTAGGATAAATTTTCATTATGCTCAAAGAGATCGTGTCTATCACTGGTATAGGTCTGTACAAATTAAAAATATGTGATATTTTTCCTTCTCAGTTACTCCTGGTTACCTCCTGGTTCCTCAACTGTTGCCAGGTTCCCCAGTAAATTAGTGTAAATTGACCTGCAGAGGATGTTAAGCACTGGAAATCCTGCTCCCTATGTTTCTAGGGCATACAATTGAACACTGCACGTTGTTTGTGTTCCACAGTGCCAACTTCTAACCACAAGAACAGAGTCAGCAGAAAGTAGGGCTGCATCTGGAGGAAC